TAAAAGAATCCATGAGTTATTTTTATCCACGGATACCCTGAAAGACAGGAATTGATAGTAGGAGAATGTACTTTGTTTTGTGTGGAACAGATTGTTTGAGATTAGAAAAATGTGTTCTCTTTGATTGTAACTAATGCCATTTGCTTCTGTAACCGTGCTTGCTTTTAGCTGTTTGTTAAATACAGGAGTGAGAGCAGGAGTGACTCCATGACAAGCTGAATTTCCTGAAATAGGCCTAAGTTTCAGTTTCCCCTGAAACCAAAACGCGGACCAAAACTGGCGCCGGCGCGAAAATTGAAAATCCCGAGGCTTGTAGCCAACCAATCAGGAGTCAAAACAATCCGCCATTTTCAAAGGAACCAATGGACTAAGGGGGAAGGGGGTATGGTATGCCCAGCGTGTCGTGTGGAACCTGCGTGTCGTGTGCCACCTGTGTGTCGTGTGCAAAAGAAAGTATAAAAGCTTCACTTTTACCCCAGGGCGGGGTCCTAGCCCTTAGAAGAGGTCACTGCGTTGGTGCTCTGGGACTTGGACCCTAGCTCGAGCTAGCCGATAAACTCCTTTGCCATTTTCAGCCTCAGTGACTCTGCCTCTCTGTTCCTGGGGCCGAGGGGAACCAGATCTAACAACCCCAGTCCCCTAAGGGAAGTCTGGCCACTCTTTTACATGTTTGAGCATCCGGAACCCCAAATACATGGTCACTCCCACCCCAAACATTAAGCCACTCACGAGGAGTCACACTACACTCTATAGGATGAGATGGCCTCTTTCCCAGCAACAGCTTATAAGCAATAGACCTCGCATTCGGATTAAGATGCAGAATAGAAAAATGGTTTTCAAGGCAGATCTAGGTGCAACCCAGGGCACTTAAAACATGTGTATAACCCTGACTTTTTACCTCTCTAAGTTTCATTTCCTTATCTGTTACATGGGTATAATAATACGTGGGGTCTTTGTCCTACAGGGGTGAGAGGGAACTTTCCCTTTCCCCCAAAAGTTCACTGAAAGATTGACTTACAATTAAGGCACACTAATAAGAGAAAGAGGTTTATTTACCATGTGCATGGGGAGAATCACAGAGTGATCACCCAGTGAGGTCCAGAAATTTTAATACCCTCCTTTTTAGAGGGGATGGGGAGATGAGGAATCTAGGTAATTCTGTTTAGGGGCAATAAATGGTTGCTAGGGAGGATGAATAGATACTTGGGAGAATGAATGGGTGGGGGCAAACAGATTGATTTGTAAATTAACCCAAGTGTCAGGTATTATGTTTAAAATTATTTGGGGCTCGGCTGGGTGGCTCTAGGAGGCCAAGGCAGGAGGATCACTTGAGCTCAGGAGTTCAAGACCAGCCTGAGCAAGAGTGAGACAGTGTTTCTACTAAAAATAAAAAAAATTAGCCTGTAGTTCCAGCTACTCAGGAGGCTGAGGCAGGAGGATCACTTAAGCCCAAGAGTTTGAGGTTGCAGTGAGCTATGATGACGCCACCACACTCTACCTCCGAGACAGAGTGAGACCCTATCTAAAAAAAATATATATTTGGTCCAGGTCTGGTTGCATTCTTGATCTTCTTTCCTGCAATATATTGAGATAACAAGGAGGGAAAAGAAGCCAATTTTTCTTTTTGATGGGTCAATCTGGTTTATGCAGATAGATGGGAAAACCCCTTCCAAGGCGTGTTCATCTCTGAGCGCCTTTAATTCAAAATACTCTTTATAGCAAGTAGTCATATTTTGGGGTGAAATTTCCTAAGCTCCTTCAGTTCAAAACTGATTCTCTTCCTCCTGGGACTACACCTTGCCCTCTGACCCAACGGGTAAACATGTGACCTGATTGGGTCAATCGTTTTATAACCTTGTCCACAAGCTGCTGATTCAGGAATGGACGTAGTCTGGACTTGTTACAATTCCCTTACAATTTTCTGTTGGAACTGGAGGAGCAGAGGCTCTCACTTCTACCCGTGGAGCTGTAAGGATGGGACCTAAGAGTTGCTTGCAGCCTATAGCCCCCAAAGTTTGTACCTTCTTTGACCTCGTCTCTCGCTGCTTCCTTTTTTTACTCACTCTGCCTCATCCACATGGCCTCCTTGCTGTTTCTCAACTCCAGGCATGCTTCTGCTTCAGGGCCTTTGCACTCGCTGTTTCCTGTATCCGGAATGCTTTTCCTGTAGACCCTGCCTAGCTGATTCCTTCAATCTCCTTCAAGCCTCTGCTCAAATGTCACCTTCTACAAAGGTCTATCCTGGCCACCCTATCCAAAATGGTGACCCTATCTTCTTCTACTCCTAATCTCTTACCCTGCTCTATTTTTTTCCATAGCAACAACTTCTAACATATAATGTAAGTTTATTATTGTTATTTACATTACTGCTCATTGACAGGCTCCCCTCTGCTAGAATATAAATTTCACTAGGACAGGGATTTTTGTCTCATTTTATTCATTGATGCCTAGAATCAATGCCTTGAGGTGCCTAGAGCAGTGCCAGGCAAATAGTAAGTACCCAGTAAATGTTAATATTTAATGAATGAATGAATGTATTTAGAAACAAATAAGCTTAACTAGTATAACACCTATTTAATGAGGTTGTTACGCAGATTAGAAATTATGGATCTAAAGTAGATCTAAAGTAGATCACAAGTAGAATGTCTGGCTCATATTAGGTAACCATTATAATTCAGGATTTCTTTTTTTTAAAGAATTTTCAGACCTGGAGATAAGTTTCTGCATCTATGAACAGAAAAAGACTGATAGAGAACACACCAGAAGGTGATCTTTGGCTTTGTATGTGTGTATATATTTTGTGTATTTGTTTTCCAAGTTTTCTTTCTTGAGCATTATTTTTAACAGACAAGGAAAATAATTTTTTTTTTTTTTAGAATTTTGGCTTCACTTTGGGATTTGGGCAGATGAAAAAAAGAATGTCTAAGTTCAGTAAAGGATGAAGAGGAAGTAAAACAAAGAACCAGAGAGTGGTGGTAGCTGGCATTGAGAACCAACAACCCTGGTTGAAGGGGAAGCTGTGAACAGACGTAAAAATCACAAGGCCAGAAAGAAATTGCCCAACTTGGCTGGCTAGGTGGAAAGCAGATGGAGAAGGTCAGGGAAGAATTGGTGGGAGTATTCAAGATCATCAGGCAGTAGGCCTAAAATTAGTTGATCTCATGGTTTTTTCTAATTCTAACCACATGAGACTGACTTTAGAAGAAGAGAGCTTGAGCAGTCGTTTCTTTCACTATGGCCAGAGCCCAGGGCCTGTGTCTGACGGATGTTACTTCCCACGCTGTGGAATGACAATAGAAAAAAAAGGACCAGCAGGACTGTCAAGTCGAGTAAGTGAAGCGGCAAATTGGAGAGAGCCTATATTTTGGACTCAGGCAGACTGCCTTTGAATCCTGACTCTGTCACTGACCAGCCATAAGACCTTGAGCAAGTAACTAACCACCTAGGACAAGATCAAAGGCCCCTAGAAAGTACGGGGTTAGGGGAGGAAATAATAAATATGGCATTAAATTACACTCTTTAACAAACAAAACATAGAAAATGAGAGTTTTCAAAAGCAACTGCTTTGAACAACTCAGTTGATTAAACTAAAAACCCTGCTTATATCACCATAGGAAACCATGCTATTGGGGCAGGTTTTCTCACAAGTCTTATAAACACAAGTTTTCAAATCAGACATTTCGGTCTTGAGATATAAGTCTTTCATCATATGCTATTTGTTGTCATTTTTACTCCCTTGTTTCGGTTTCACAAGTCTTGGCAACCGTCAGTTCTTTTCAGAAAGTATTCTCATGCTTAAGGGTATGTTTTTCTGAGCCTGGCCTTCTGTGCAGATGGAACACCTCTTTAATACTTTCCCTCACAGGTCTCCGAAACGAGGGAGCAATTGAAAATTTTGAGTTAATTAATAGAAAATAATTTTCTATCAAAACCCCCTTTAACAAGGAATGATTGGCAAGTTATTAAGAGCATGGACTTTGAAGCCAGGCTATGTTTCCTGGGTTTGAATCTAGGCTTCTTTATTTCCTAGCTGTGGGACCTTGGGCAAATTACTTTTCTCTTTGTGCCTGTTTCCTACATCCTAAGGTTATTGTGATAATTAAATAAATTAATATTTGTAAAACCCTTAGAACAGAGCCTGGCACACTGTAAAGCTCTGTTTGCTAGGAATAGTTTACCTCACCATTAGACCACTACATCATGCTGCTTGATGATAAGCTAATCTGCCTCATTTATCCTTTATCCCCTAGATAGGTCTATGGGTTGGTTGCTGGGAAGCTGTATTGGCTTTATTAGTAGTAGTGGTTGTCCTTTTACCAGCCAATTTCATGGACCAGTATTTATAGGGAAGTTTGGGCCCTGTCCCAGAGTGGCTAAGTGAGAGGAAAATGCCCACCATTTTCACTGTTGTTACCACCAGTTAGTAAAAATACTTGAAAATACATTTTAAGTAATCATACTGGCCACCTCCCTTCCTCTGGGCCAGTATAAAGGGAGGTGGGATGGAAAGAGGAGTGGAGGATTCTTCTTTCCAGGAATCTGTCTCCAGTTGGAAGGGAGTCTGAAATCTGCTCCTGTGTGCGGAAACCTGAAGACAAGTATCCCCAGGGCCCTTAGTTGGCCAGCAATACAGTGGAACTTGTGAAACTCAAAAAGACACCCTCAATCATTCCAGGGTCTTTCTAGTTCAGCCTCTTGCCCATTTTTCTCTTTATTGGAAGGTGCCGGCAGCCTGATGGCCTTTTACGATTCCTTTAAGTTTGGCGCATCTGAAAACTGGCCAAGAGAAGGCCTGACGTACTCATTTGGAGTTGTATACCCTCAATTAACCAGAGGTGCCCCATTCGCTAGTGTGGTCCAGAGCGCCCTCTTCCCCCGCCCCTGCCCTTTTTTGCGCAGCTTCTAGCCACGCCCTCCACGTTCGGTCCGGAGGGCGATGAGGACGACTGGACTGCTATTGCGCCTGCGCAGGGGGCCTGGGGGCTAGATGCCCCCAGGCTGCCTGGCCCCAAGGGCTGAGCTGTTAGTGCGCCTGCGCAGGAGGACAGTGGGTCGGCATGCTGAGCGGACTCGCTGCCCGCGCCAGGCTGTCAGGGCGCCTGCGCGCGGGCTGGGCGCCGCGGTTCTTGTCTGTGCTGTGCCGGCGGCCCGGCGCAGTCATGCAGGGAGCCGAGTCAGAGCAGCCTTCTAAGCGGCCCCGACGCGATGGCAGCACAAGAACCCCACCGAGCACTCCTTCCGCAGCGGCAGGCAGGTCCCCGGGCCTGGAACTCCACCCCGACCACAAGACGTGGGGCCCGGAGCAGGTGTGCTCCTTTCTACAGCGCAGTGGCTTCAAAGAGCCCGGGCTGCTGAAGAACTTCCGAGGTAGAGGGGCTGAGGGGCGCGGGACGGCGACCGGCGGCGGGGCCAGCCGGACCTGAGAAGAGGCGCCCTGGGGGAGGGGGCCTCGCCACGGGACCTAAAGCCGAAAAGGCAGACCTGACGCGGAAGCACCCAGTAGGGCGGACCTGCGGCGGGGGCGCCGCGGGAGGAAAGACCTGAGGCGGCGAGCCCTCCTGAGGAGGGGCCCGCGGCGGGGAAGGGAGACCTGACGCGGGAGGCACCCAGAAGGGTATCCCGTGGGGAGGAGGAAGGAGAAATGGGGGCGCCTGGGTTTGGGGATCCGTGGGAAGGGAGCAGGTTCTGGGAACCTGGGAGGGACAGGTGTAGGTTTGGATCTTACTCTGGAGGGTTTCTTCAGGAATTTGTCGCCGCAGCGCCGGACAGGCGAGACTCAGGTCCCCCCCACCCCGGCCCTTTTTTTTTTTTTTAGTTAGAAGGTTTTTCCCAGACCTTGGTCAGAGGCACGCTGTCTGTCATTCAGGCTCACCAGCCTCGGGAGACCCCTGTCTGCTAACCGCAGCTCCTTGAACACTTGCCACATGAAAGGATGTTCTGGAGCTTTTAAGTTTCGGTTTCCTCCCTGCACTTGGGGTTTTCCTAAGGTGGAAGAAACTTGCTTAATCTCTGAAGTCCCACTGCGTCCCTTAGCATCTCAGTAGCGCTTAATAAGTGTGTGTTGACAGTACTTGCAAAGCTCACTGATGGTCATGTCTTGCTCTTTAAAAGTAGTTGCCCCTCCTAAATCTGAACGCTGGGGCTGTTCGCTTGACCACTGAATCCCCAGCTTTCCCTAGTTTGGCCACATGTCAAGGGGAAAGGTGTAGGTTGAGTTTTAAGCGACTTTACTGGTTCATGTTCGAGCATCTGTCCACTTCAAGTCTACTCAGTTTTTTTGTATTGGGCATGAGACTTAAGCCTTGCCTCACGTCGTCGGAGATGTTTAATAGGAAGGTGGTTATTTGGTGGTCGCGACTTGCAAATTCAGTAAACTTTTGCATTTCTAGGGTGGAGCCCTGTTTGCCTAGGTTGGAGCCTGGGTAGGAGGAACTTTAGTGGTTCAGGATCTAAAGATAGCTTGAATGGGTATGGGAAATAGTACTTTTTCCCTTTCCACCTTTTGTTCTCCTCCACTGCAGGGATGGATTTTTTTCTTTGACTAACAACTGGTGGGGTGAAGTAGTTTTACATTTTGTCTCCAAATGTGATTGGCTATGTTGTTGGCTTTCTATTTCAGTGGTATTCTGTAGATTAACTCATCATTAACTCATCCATAATGATCTGTGTTCTCTTGAACCCTATGTGCCTTCAATTGGTAAAAACTGACCAAGTGTTCCCAATTGCTCATGTCTTTGGGGTGGGGAACCTGCAGCCTTCTGGTGTCAAGACTGTTCTTTATTAAACACCAAAGGAGGCAAGAAAAGCTTCATTTTCCTCTGATGCACCCCTTTTAATAAAAGGATTTGTTTTGTAAAATTTGGCTTCAGTCAAAAGACTTCACTCAAGTAACCAGAAGGTCACATGCAGCCTCAAGGCTGCAGGTTCCTCCCCCCCCACTCTCTTTTTCTTACAGACCCCTGAGTTCTTGCTTGCTCTAAAAAAGTGGACTATGCTCCCACCCCCACCCCTGATCAGCTTCTCCTGGGGACCGCAGAGGGACACTGTCCTGTTGGACTCCACTGATCATTTTCCCTTGCTTGTCCAGGTTCCCTCCTCAAAATTCTACTTATTTCTGCTTGCCCCTTCCTTACCTTTTACTTTTTGTTTTCTTTTTGTTTTTTGTGGTTTTTTTTGAGATAGGGTCTCCCTCTGTCACCCATAGCTCGCTGCAACCTCAAACTCCTGGGCTCAAGCAATCCTCCTGCCTCAGCCTCCTAAGTAGCTGGGACTAAAGGTGTGCACCACCACACTTGGCTGATTTTTAAATTTTTTGTAGAGACATCCCTTTACCTTATAAAAGAACTTTTGTTCTGTTTGATTTTGAGCTGCTTGCAGATATCTGAGGTTGGAGCTTTCTCTCTATTGCAATAGTCCTTTTTTCTAATTAAAGTCTCTCTCTCTCTCTCGGTCCAGATTTGGTTTTATTTGACAAAACCAAACATATGGTACAGGGTCCCTTTCCTCGTGTGGAATACAGCTTCACAAGAACCCTGAAATTAGTTGTTATACTCCACACTTTTTACAGATGATATCTATGAGGTGCAAAGGTGTTAAGTAACTTACCAAAAGTCACACTGATAGAAAAAAGCAGAGCTGGATTTTTTAAGGTTATAGTTCTTTGGACCCACACCAGAACTCATGCCAGCTATACCTTAACAACTGCTCTCATTAAAAACCATTGGAGGCTGGATGTGGTGGCTCACACATATAATCCTAACACTCCGGGAGGCTGAGGCGGGAGGATCGCTTGAGCCCAGGAGCTTGAGACCAGCCTGAGCTACAGTGAGACCCTGTCTCTACTAAAAATAAAAAGAAATTAGCCAGACAACTAAAAATAGAAAAAATTAGCCGGGTGTGGTGGTCCATGCCTGTAGTCCCAGCTACTCGGGAGGCTGAGGCAGGAAGATGGCTTGAGCCCAGGAGTTTGAGGTTGCTGTGAGCTAGGCTGATGCCACGGCACTCTACCCAGGGTGACAGAGTGAGACTGTCTCAAAAAAATAAAAATAAAAAAAACACATTGGAGAATATAGACAATATTAGATAATCAACTAAAAGCAAGGGGGAAAAACACTTCAATAGAAAAATGAGTAAAACACAGGAACAGACCATTGACAACTAGCTAGTAAACACAGAAAAAGATGTTCAGTGTCAACAGTAATTATAAAAATACCAATTTTTGATTTATAGTGAAAAGATTTAAAAGCTTGATAACAGGGGAAGTGGGTAATCCAAGAAAGTTGATGAAAGCATCAGTTGACTCAATCATGCACAGTTTTGCAATACCTTTTGACTAATAGGAATTTCATGTACAAGAATTTGCAGATATAATTGGACCAGTGTCCAAAAAATATATTTAAAACGATTCTTCTAACCATTGGTTATAAATAGCAAAGAAGTAGAAATAACTTAAATGTCTATCAATAGTAGTAATAAATAATAGCAATGGCTAACATTTGAGTATTTAGTTTGTGTGAAATACCGTCCAATGCTCTTTACATGTCTTATCTTGTAAAATCTTTAAAACTCTTATGACATAGGTTCAATTATATATCTATTTTAGAAGTGAGGAGAGTAAGATCCAGAAAAATTGTTTAGCTATATTATGATATATCTATACTGTGGAATACAAGACAGCCATTAAAAGTGATGTATAATTTAATAATTGACAAAAAAGATTTTTATGACATTGGGCAGGAAAAAATAGGTTGTAAAACGACATAATCTCATTTTTATGTAAAATTATGTAATTGCATAAATATGTTTTGCATAATGCTATCCAAAATGTTAACAGTGGTTATCTACTAAGAGAACTTAAGTAAGTTGATATTTTATGCTTTTTTTTTTTTTTTTTTTTTTACATTGTATGGATTTTTTACATTGAATAACTTTTTTGTAATAGAAAAATACAAAAGGGCCGGGCTCAGTGGCTCACGCCTGTAATCCTAACACTCTGGGAGGCTGAGGTGGGAGGACTGCTTGAGATCAGGAGCAAGAGCAAGACCCCATCTCTAGTAAAAGTAGAAAAATTAGCCAGGCGTGGTGGCCCGAGCCTGTAGTCCTGTTAGGGTAGAAAGCCTAGTAGTGCTCACCTCGAGGGTGGAGATGCAGAGATTAGGATATATAAAAGTAAAAATGTTTGTTTTATCCTTTTGGAAGGAGAGAGTGAGAGACAGAGAGAGAGAGGGGAAAGAGAGGGAGAACAGGGAGAGGTATGGCATCCCAAAGAAAGAGAAC